CTTACGGTCATCAAGTCGTTTGAAACTAACAAAGTTCTGCATCTGAGTGGGACTCAGTGAGTGATGTGGTGCACTGCTAGACTATTTCTGATGAGCTAGCCATTCACTTTGATGATTAGACAAACAGCTCAGCAAATTAGCAAAAACTCAATTAATTTTGGGGGCTAGGGCGGACAAAAAAGAGGGAACTTTTGAAACCTTAATTCTTTTATTATTATTATTATTATTTAAATAGATTTGGGGACAAGCATGATGAGAACCGCATATTCTCTAACCTTGTAGATGATGAAATCTCAAGATTTACTCCTGCTTAACTAATAGGCAATGTTTTCTTGAGATAATTAGGCAAATCTCAAGGTTTTATTCTTGGCTAACTTGTAAGTTTCACTTTTTCTTTTTCTTTTTCTTTTTCTTTTTTTTTTTATTTGCATCAATATGAAAAAGTGTGAAAGTCATGGCTTTTCTACTATAAATATCATGTTTTGATGCCCCACTTGTCTTTATAATATTTTGAAAAGCTATTGTCTTTACTTGCGTTTGCATGTCTTCTTTACAGTAATGGCCACTTCTATTGGTGTTTTGACTATTTTTCATGGGGGAACCTTTGAGCGGGGCCCAGCTATTGACTATGTTAACAATACAAGGTCAATCTTTGATGTGTATGAGGACAAAGTCAATCTGGAAGAAATTATAAAGCTTGTGCATGCTTTAGGTTACCAAGACATTGGAGTTAAAAGCATCTATTTCAAGTCTCCACTTGAAAAATTTGAAAGATTGAAATCAATTTTACATGCTAATTGTGTTGATGAGAATAGTAAAATCATTACTACAAGTGGTGAAGTGGAAGTTTACATTGATCATAATGACATGGGACCAAATAGTGTACAAAAATTAGTTGGTGATGCTCACGGAGTGAGATTTATAATGGGAGTATTAATGGTGTTGACATAGAAACATCACCCAGGATATTTCTGAAAATCTTGATCAAGGAGAAAAAAGTGTTCCTGCAAATGAATACTCTAGGGATTTTGAAGAGGAACATTCTAATGATGAAGAAGGAGATGAGTCAAATGTTGATGAGGAGTATATGGCAAGTCATGTTGGTAGTTATAGGGGAGATGAGGAGTATGTCGCTGTATGTAATGAAGTTAAATTGCTGCAAATGAGAACAACTGTTGTGAATGGTGATGAGAAAAGTTGTGAGAAGGAATGTGTTAATGATTAGATTGGATTCGAGGAGCAAAGGGAAATTCAGAATCTAACCTCAGTGCAAGCTATTGCAGAAAAGGAGAGGTTGAGAAAGGAGAGGGCAACATCAACTAGTAGGAGGTATAAGACACTTAATATTGCCAACATTCCTATAAGAGGTGAAGCAAGCTCTTCTTTCACTAATCATGTGTTAGAATTGCAAGTCCTTATTGACAATAATCAATATGCAAATTCAAATGCAAGTGATGAAGATGAAACAAAAAGACACCAAAATAGTGATGGTCTAGGATGATTAAACTTGGATACATCATCTAAAGAGGAAGATGTCTTTTATATGCCATGCGATCCACCAAGCATGGGCTCAACAGAGATATACTTCAATCCAGAATGGGAGATTCCTTGGTTTGAAGTGGGAATGAGATTCACAAATGCATATCAGTTTAGAGATGCTATCAAAAGATACTCTAGTGTCAAGAGATGCAAGTTAAAACCTCTAAAAAATGAGCCCCTAAGGTAGAGTTATCACTGTACAGGTGTAGACTGTGAATGGGAGATTTTTGCTTCAATGGACAATAAAAATAAATGCATTTGAGTGAAGACATACACAAGAGAGCATACGTGTGTTAGGACAAGTCAAATTCCAATGATGACACAAGACCAACTTGCAAAATATTGGAAAAAGAGGATCAAGGAAACTCTTTTTTTAAAATGCAAGTACATGATGGGGCAAACTTATGCAGAGTTGAGGGTTGTTGTCCATTTGAAAAATGTGTGAGGGCTAAAAGAATGGTTATTAAAGAGTTGAGAGGGAAATTTAGGGATGAGTATGCAATGCTTCCTGGTTATGCAACATACTTGTCAAGTCTTAATCTTGGTAACACAGTCATAGTTGAAAGTGAGAGGAATGAAAATGGTTTAGCTATATTCAAAAGGTTTTATTGCTGCTTAGGGGTATTAAAAGAAGGGTGGAAAATGGATGTAGACCTTTCTTAGGGTGGATGGTTGTTTTCTTAAAGGAGTCCGTAAAGGTATTCTTTTATCAACGGTTGACAGAGATGGGAACAACCAAATGTACCTTGTGGCATGGGCTGTTGTGGATGTTGAAAACATAGATAATTGGGAGTGGTTTTTCAAGTTGTTAAAAGAAGATTTGAGTGTAGGCTTTGATGTGGATTTCACTCTAATTTCTGATGAGCATTTGGTATGATATATTCTTTTTTTTTTTGGTAAACTTTTCTATTTTGTTAAGGTGATAATATCCTAACAAATTCTAGTATGTTTTTTAGGGAATTCTTAATGCCAGTGCTACTATATCTTCTAATCAAGAGCATAGGCATTGTGCTCGGCATATATACTGCAATCTTGCCAAGAGAAATAGGGATTTGGGTGATGAACTAAAAATTGCATTTTGGAATGTTACAAAGGCTACATTGCCGCATGTATGGAGAGACATGATGTAGAAACTGAGGAATTTGTCAAAGGAAGGTTATGCTCAGCTAATGGACAAGGATGGTAAGTATTGGTCAAAGGCTTTTATTGATCCTCATTCCAAATGTGATTCTATTGACAACAACATATTAGAAACCTTTAATTCGTGGATTCTTAAAGCAAGGTGCAAAGCACCAATTAGCACGAACAAGCAAATAATAGAAATGTGCATGGAGAGATGTAGGGATAAAAAATTTAATGTTGATAAGTGGTCTATTGATGTTTCCCCTAGAACTAGGAAAAAGCTCAAAGAACACTTTGACCATGCTAATGCTTGTGAAGAAATATGGAATGGGGTCACTCAATTTCAAATTTATGATGGGAAGACTACATTTACTCATGGTATTGATTTTAAGGATCGAACATGCACCTATAGGGTTTGGCAATGTAGTGGAGTTCCTTGTGCACATGCTTCGCATGCCATAATCAACCAAGGTTGGAATGTTGATGACTATGTTCATGAATAATTTAAAAAAGAGAAGTATTTAGCAGCTTATGACACCCCATTAGAATGCAGCAGAGGTGAGGAAGTATGGAATAATGTTGACAAGGAGGAAAAGTTACTTCAACCAATTATCAAAAGCATGCCTAGTAGGCCAAGAAAAAATAGGAGAAAATCAAAGTATGAGCCAAAGAAGACCAAAGTGGGAAAGAAAAAGTGCAAAATCTCAAGATAAGTAACTGTTGCAATGCATTGCAACATTTGTGGACAAGAAGGCCATAGTAGGAGAAGATGTCCATTCAAAGACAGAGAAGAATATGCCAAGTTTGCTAATAAAAATTTAGGGGCCAATTCTGCAACTATAAAAGATGTAAGTGCATATTGGTTACTTAGTAGTTTAACTTAAAATTCTTATAAAAGCGTGTTGTTTCAAAATTTTCATGTGCTGTTCTTTTAGGTTGGTAACCATATTGGGTCATCTTTAAAGGGAAGTAGAAAGAGAAGTAACAATAATGAAGGGCAATGTGTAGATACACTGGAAAGTGCAAGTATAGTGAAAAGACCTAAGTCAAATGTCGTATATAGGGTTGTTGTCAAGGTTCCAGAAGGGGATGGTCTATTCATTGATAATGCAATTGAACTACAAATTCTAAATGTGAGTAAAGTTATGTGTACTAGCTAATTCTAATTTGTATTATTGGTTTATGTTTGTTTCTAATTATTACATGTATGCTAAATATAATTGCTTTTACTAATGGTTCATGATGTTTTTGCAGCCTAGGAAAAAGGGAAAGCAGCAACTTAGATCAAGAGGAAATCAAAATGCAAAATACAAGGTGCAAAAGGATAGAAAGAAGAAAAATGATTGAATGGCAATGATGAATAAAACTTTTAATTTAATTTAAAGTTATTATAAATAATAATGATTATGATATATGTTATTCATATAAGTTTTTGTTACATTTTTTGTTGATAGTTAAGACAAATTTTAATGATATAGGCAAGTTTTTATTATCTTTTTGGTTAATTGATTAAAGGATTGTATTTTTAATTAACTATTAAAAAAAAAAAAACCAATGCCACAAGCATGTCGACATTACCTTTGTGGGTGTCGATACTAGGCAATAAGATTTTGTAGCCGTCATGATAGGAAAAAAAATTCATAGTAGAAGTGTCGACACCAACATTGTGGTGTCAATACGCTAACCAGTTCCACCCATGTCAAACAAAACTCATTGAGTTGTTTGCCTAATCATCAAAATGAATAGCCAGCTCATAAAAAATAGTCCAGTCATGCACCACATCACTTAATGGATCCCACTTGGATGCAGATCTTCGTTAGTTTCAAGCGGCTTGATGACAATAAGGACTTATTTAACTCTTTTCAAAAGTAAAAGGTGGAAGATGTGTCTATTTTGGGTTGAGGAGTTTATTTAATACGATTTGATAAATTTAAGGATTAATTTACATGATTGACCTAAGTAAAAATCGTATAAAACTTTAAAGTTAAGAGGTGAGATGGGGCTATAGGAAAAGAAAGTGACTCATTTATTATAGATTAGAGAGATGATGACCTCAGATGATATCCATACTCTTGGAGGCAGGAAATTTTTTTTAAATTATTAAAGGTCAGGGGAATATTCCTTCAGTGGTTAATCATTTAGCAATAAAATAAAAGATAGAACGCCAATCTGACAGTTCAGCAAAACATCAATTTAATTCCGCCACGTTAGCCTTAGCGGGACCCACAGACGCTAACCGATTATGTTTTCGAGTCAAAATCCGGTCACGATTCGATTTTCCAGAATTTCCTAACTCTCAGGAATTCTAATTCGAAGGTGATTTTGATCAGATTCAACAAAATATATACTCAAATAGCCAGAAATCTCATCGCAATTCTGTGGAGAAATTGGCATTCTCTTCACTCATGGAAAGGGGAATCGCAACCACATATGGCGGCTGTGACTACGGATGTGGTTGTACAAGGGAACGAATAACTGGAGTTTCTTCTACCACTGCGGAGATGGGATCGCCTTTAATCGATCCAACCGATGAATTTTCTGGTGTTCAATTGGGCCGTGATGCAGGAGATATATTCTACGGCACGGACGACCTTGACGCGATGAGAGATTTTATGTACAAGGAAGACGTAATCGAGAATTACCGGCGGGAGGCGGCGATGAAGTCTTTGAGGAAGAGAACGCGAGGGTTGAGCTCAGGATTAAGGTGTTTCGACTTCTTAAAGTTGCTATGCTGTATACGATTCTCGAAGTAGAACTGTCATGTAGAAGAGAAATCTTATGGTATTCTAAGTTGCATGTCCTCTCTATATATATTTTTCTCTATTTTGTTTTCCATTTTAGAATTCGGAGCACCGCCGATGAGTCTTGGCCGCCGGCGGTGATGATAACTGAAAATTCTAATACTTGATAAGGTAAGGCAGTAGGATAAGAAAGATCGCCAGCGCTTTCTTTTTTATTTCTATTTTTATTTTTATTTATGTTGATCGCCAGCGCATTAAAGTTGTAATTGTTGGTGTGTACATATTTTATTATAGAGCTTTCTTAACTCGCCCATAAAGGTACATTTAAATAATAATAATTATTTTCATTGTAAATTTATTTTAAATTAATTAAAGTAAATGAACGGTCCGGTCCGACCAGTGTTATTGGATTTTAAGTTAAGGCTGTTCATCTCTGTAAGTTGCACGTTCGAGTTAAATATTTTTATTTTAATTTTTTTATTATTTATTTATTTTGATTAATTATTATAATATAAAATTTTATTTTTATCTTTTAACTTTTTTAAGAGTAATATAAATAAATACATAAATAGTTCTAAATTAATTTTAACAATTAACTAATTAAATTAATACAAATGATATTGATGTTAAATTTAATATTAATTTTTTTAATTTTTTATATAATTTAATGATTACAATATGTATTAAATATACCATTAATCTTTGTTCTATTAAAAAAAAATCCTTTATTACTAACACCTTTCCATCCAAGGAGTATTGCCACTAAGCCTTCCTGAATTTGTAGGTTCAGACTTCCAACTCCCAAAAAATATAAAAAAGATAACATGCACATTTGAGGTGGATTGGCTCACGGAGTGTTTGTTTCAACATTTGAAAGCAGTGGTTCTTGAGAAACATTTTAACATCACTAGATTAAAAATTGCATAATGATTATGTTTAAAACGTGCCCATGACCAAAGTTAATGATAATCGTGACATAGCCATAATGATTGTTATGGTGGCGTAACAAAATTAATGGCGGCCGTAATATAGCAGCAATATTAGATAGCGACTTTTTAGTAGGCCTCCATTATTTTAACATTCTAAAATTACAATTAATCGTAATTCAGTTGATAGATTTGCGACGGCTAGAAATCATAGGGACACCCCAACCGAACCAAGCGCATGTAATATGCATTTTACCAACTGCAAACCTAAATGCAAGGGGAAACCAAATAAAGGCTCGCGATGAGTAGAAGGCATGGCTATCATATGTTATTAAGTCAATATTTTAAATCGGACAAAGCAGAATTTACACCTAATATTCTTGAAGCAAAAACAACAAAACGTAGAAACACTTCAACTTGATTATTCAGTTTAAAGCATAAGGGGTTGTGCTTTTAGGCATGAATGGGTGTGAGTCAGGGATATGTGGTTTGTTGTTAAACAAACCTCTCTTTCAAATGATGCAAAGTAACAATAAAAATCTCTATTGCTGTCATTTAACACTTAATTGCACTCCTAAAGTTATGATTGTTTTGTAAAGTTTTACAAATTGAAGTAGTTTTATTATTAATATAAAAAGCTTTTACGCTTTCATAATAGGAGTTCAAACCTGTGCTCCTTCACCCAATCCCCTTCTGAAACTGTGGTTCATTATTCCAAAGTTGATTTTCTATGGACTCTTACATATTATATGTCTTACATTAGCAAGAACATTTATTTGCAATAGCAATAAGAGGAAATTTTCTATGCATGGTTAGGCCATTGGATTCGGTCATGTCTATATCCTTCTCTTTTACTCCACTAGGCAAAGTCCAGTCAAACTTGTGCACAATATTTGCTAAGAAAAGTTCACTGATTGTTGTTGCAAAGAGAATACCAGGACAGCCCCGCCTTCCGGACCCAAAAGGAATCAACTGGAAGTCATGCCCTTTGAAATCTATGCTGCTGTCCAAAAACCTCTCTGGAATGAATTCTTCTGGTTGTTCCCATGACATGGGGTCTCTTCCAATTGCCCAAGCATTCACAATAACCCAAGTTCCAGCTGCAATGTTGTAGCCCATCACTTCAACATCTTGAGTTGATTCTCTGGCCCCTAATAATGGAACTGGAGGGTGTAGACGGAGAGTCTCTTTGAGCACAGCCTTCAAATAATGCATCTTCTCCAAATCCTTCTCTTGTATGTATGATTTTTCACCTGCAATCTCTCTCACCTCCTTTTGCAGTTGTTTCATAACATTTGGGTGCCTCAATAGCTCTGTCATTGCCCATTCTAGGGATGTGTATGTAGTGTCCATCCCGGCCGTAAAAACATCCTACAAAACAAGCACAGCAAGTATTTGATATCTTACTAGCTCTAGCCAGAATCACCTATTTGGGAAATTCAATAGTCTCAAGACAAGAACAATATCTCACCAGAATAAGGGCTTTGATACTAAGT